ACGAGTTCCCCGGACGCCGATCACAGGATCCGCCTTCTATGGACGGACATCAGGAAGTTGACCGAGTCATCACGCACCGCAAGTATGGCAACAAGCCAAGGCAGTACAAAGTCACATTCAAGCAATGCGCGCCTGATGACACTCGGTGGATCTCCAGTACAGATTTGCAGACTTCTGCACCCCTTATCTTCGCCGACTATGAGAAGCGACGCCTTGCTAAGGACGCAGCTCGTCCCGCCCGACCCACCCCGGTATCGAACAGACAACTTCGCCCTCGCAGGTAGCTCGGTCTTTTAAGAGGGGGAGCGTGTTACATCTTCGACGTCACACGGGTCCTACCGGACCCGACTTAGGGCTAGAGGGACACATCAGGGCCTAAAGGCCCGACCTTGGGGGATAACAGGCCGAAAGGCCAGGACTTGGACCCGACTACGGACCAGGCCCAAATGACATTTCGTCTTTGGGCCTGACGGCGCCATTTGAGGCTGCCACTCTCCGGTTGGACCTGAATCGTCGATCTGGATGGTTCAGCCCCAACCAAGGCCTCGCAGCAGTGAGGCCGGTCCTCTTCGAACCAGTACTTAGTACTGGTCCGGCCTCACTTCGAGGCATCGACCCACCGGCACTCTACGCGGTGCGGTAAGGTCGGCGCCAGAGCGCCGTTTGAGAGCTATTCTGAGCGCAGGAGGAAGGACAGCAGCAGCGCGAGCTAGCGCAGCGGCAGCAGCGAGGACAGCAGCAGCAGCACGGCGGCCATCGCCGCCTCAGCAGCAGCAGGGCAGGTACCAGGAGGCGAGGATCTCTTCCTCCCTCCACGGTCCCGTTCCCCTCCTCCTCACCTCCGTCTTCTCTCTCTCTCTCTCTCTCYCTCTYCMKMYTCMKWCTYCTTCTTCTTCTTCTTCTTCTTCTTCTTCKTCKTCTTCTTCTTCAGAGTGGAGACTTATACTAGTTGGACCGAGATCAGTGTTGGACTTCGGTGGTATGAGACTGTGGTACTTACCGGATTGGAGACTTGGAGATCGTTGGGGTTGATACTTGGCGACATCACAGTTCAGACACCGGTTACATTTGGACTCTGTATCCCCGACATTGGTGACCTATGGTCCTCGACATTTTGATCTTGTTGGATGACATTTTGGACTACCATATCGGTGACCTATCAGATTCTACCTCAGTGACTTTCGGTGCTGTCTACCTTCCCCCACCTCTTCGTCTCTCCTCCCCCATTTCATCTGTGTATGTTGTGTACGGGGCTGAGCATCCTCTCTGTATGGCTCAGACCCCACCATCTCACGATTGTATGTGTGTGGAGTGATGCTATGTGAGTCAGTCTATGTGAGTCAGTCCGTTTATCAGACTTCCGTTGCATCTATACTCATCCTGCATTGGTTGATTCTTGGTTCTGCCCATACTCATTGGAGTATGTAACAGCCCCTGTCCCACACTTCCCTCCACGTTTGCCTCTGACTGTAGCAGTGCAACTCCGATGTTGATTTTATTGTTGTGTTAGATTGCCAATGGTGTAGCCGATGGGTGGCTTCGGCCTGCTGTGTCGAAGAGTATGCAAAGTGATTTGCTGGAGTTAATCTCATCATGTTGGAGCCAGGATCCGCAGAAGCGACCAAACTTCTCTGAGGCGGTTTCTGTGCTAAAAGCAGTTCGGGAACGAGCTGTATACCAGAGACTGGTTCCGAGGAGCTTCACGTCTACGGGTTCTTCTGGGACTACAACATCTCCAACATCAGGTCTGAGTGGAAGTTTGATTGCAAAGATGAAGTTAAAAAAATCCCACAGCAAGAAGGCCACGAGCAGCCCCCCAAGGGCATCAGCATGAGATGCAGTGGTGTTTGTGATTAATCTGGATGGAGGTTGTGGCAAGCGACAATGAGCATTACTCTATGTGGGTTAATTTTTTTTAGATAATCCACAACAGTTTTCTCATAGTAGTTGGTACTCATGGCGTCTAAGCACCACTGCGCATGGAAGGAACGATTGAGTAGAGGCAAGAGAGGTTGTGTGGCACACCTTCAAAAACTTTTAAGTAGTTTTCTCGTATTAACTGTGTCTGTTGCCTACGATGAACCTGGCCTTAGTAAGTGGCAGTTTATGGTGCTTTCGCAGAACCTGACCTTCATTCTGATGGGCTTGCTGCTCTAAGCACTTCTGGCCCTTCTGGGCGATTCCAATCGCACTGTCTGTGTTAAGATTTCTGTCGCTGGGATAATCTCCATTTGATGACGACGAACTGTCCAAGAGGAATCAAAGATCATGGTTTTGGATGTGAGCAGCACTGAGAAGTTGCTGCATAGATTGCTGAAGTGCTTGCTAACGACTGCCAGATTCAATGGGCGGCACTGGGTGCCATTGCTTTTCAATCACGGACGGCCCCTTTTTTTTTTTCTTCTCTTCTTTCCGGAACACTAGTCTCCTCGCTAGGAGAGGTGATGAGAGCAACCCCCCTCGCGAGAATCCCGGATGCTCCAGTCTATTGGTGGGGAGCGGCACCTGCAATCAAGGACAACCCTGCCATCACTGCACTTATTCAAAGGGACAATGCTGTCTTGACAGCAAATTCAACACCGGGTTTGACTCTCAGGCAGGACTCGCACTCGACTTTGTGCACTGAACAGTGAATACTAAATGATTTTCAGTCGGACTGCGAGATTCAATGGGTGCAATTGTTGGTTTCAATCAAGGAACACACCACCATAACTGCAACGGTGAGCGACTGATGGGCCCATCCTACGTTGACAACGAAGTCGCTTGTCTCAACACCAGGTTTGACTCTAAGGTGGGACTCACACTTGGAATTTATGGACCAAATGCTGAAATAATGTCAGTCGGATGCATCGCGGAAGGACCTAGTGAGGCTATGCCGCAGGGCCTAAGCACCTAAGCATCTGCTGGCCTAGCGGATGAATCCATAGCCGCCCTGTGTGATCAGACCCCAAAAGACACAATCGCTGGCATGGTATGTCAATGCGGAGGAATGCATTCCCTATTGGAGCTGATCCTGAAGGAGGAGTTGGTGAAGAATCTGAAGATGAGCATCGACTTTGTCCGCTGGGGAGACTGGTTGCATTCAGAAGGGTTGATTGCGGGCGTGGACTATTTTTGCTTTGCAGAGTGAGAATGATTTCCAGTTTGAGAAGGCACTTGTGTTCTCTCTCCTGCAATTGAAAGCTTGCTGCAAATGCATGAAGGCTTCACTTCGTGGTGGTGAGATTGAGGCATTGCCAAGTTTGGCAGTTTGAATCTCTTTGGATTCCGAGGCGGTCCTGACAGAACGACTGATGATTGCATTGCCGATAATTGCCCTTTCCTGTTGAGGAGGTCCTTGCATTGTGCCTGCATGGTGGGTGCATGGTGGGTGGTAGGTACATGCCAGGGACTGTCGATCAAGAGGTCGAAGGTTCCAATCCTATTGGAAATACCTAGGGCTTGTGCGGCAGAAGCTTGCGGAAGTGACAAGAATATGTGGATGAGTCGGCTTTACTTCGATGCATTGAAATTTAAAACTCGAAAACGATGCTGTTGCGAATCAGCGGAGACTATCCTATTCATTTCCTCCTCAAACCGTCAGACGTTTGATGGCTATCTACACGGCAGCGAATGTAGCGACAACACAGTTGCAATGCAGCCGAGGATTGCATGCTTATTTGGACATGCTGGAGCCCAGACAGCCCAGGCTGGCTTTTTCTCTTCGTCCATCTGCTGGTATGTGGTAGTAGGTAATAATACTCTGATGAAGCCAGACATGTCATTGTTTGGACGTCAGAAAACTATCGTCTGTCGTTACATGACAAGTCGATAAACTTTGTGGAAGTGACATCCTTTGACAGTAGATAAAGGATGTGGATAACTACCGTCTTCACCCAAATAGAACGCCCGGTCATTATAGCTGTATTTGGCACAACTTTCGGTCCAGATGCAGCGATAATAACCGCGGCGGGCATTCAATTCGGGTGAAGACGGTAGTAGAAAACCTTTTCTTAGGCTGAGATGGTGACTGGAATGTGCTGCGGAGGGTCGGATACACCATGGAGGGGTCAGATACACCATGGATGGGTTGGAATCGTTGGATACACCATGGAGGGGTCGGATACACCATGGAGGGGTCGGATACACCATGGAGGTTGAATGTGCAAAGCATGCTTGCATGGAAAATGGTCTGCCCCTCTGCCATCATGCCTTTGGCTGGTTCCCAAAGAAAGTCAAATCCTCTTTTCCTTTTTGAAGGAGGGAGGGATTTCTTCTTGTGCCTATAAGTCGCATGTGGCATAAATTTCGATTTGTTTTCCCTTTTCCCTTTTTTAACACCGTGCATAGATTCTATGCGGATGTTGCTCAACTTGGAGGCTGCAAGCTTTTTAAGATTACAGATCTGACATCCACACAGTACTTGGATAAGAGAGGCAATGTAACAGTTGCTGCTGGAAAGGGTCAGCCACAGTGATTGAAGTATGCACAAGCAGCACAAGTCCAAGCTGCATATTACTCTTTCTCTGATCGTTCTGCGCAGTCACCATCAGCACGGTTCCAAGCTTTTGGTTACAATGCGGGGGCTAACACGCCGCATCTCGAGGGGAGGGGATTAGCTTACTGGATCTGTTTGGCTGGCGGCGCCAGCCAAAATGAAACAATTTGCAGCTCACTGGTTCGTTTTTCTTTTGGCTTGCAGCACAAATATACCTCCGAGTCGGGAAAAAGAGGCTCGGACATGGATGCGGACGTGCCGGCGGTCCTCCGCCTAGTATGTGATGCCTATCTGATGGCCATGCAGAGGCTCAGACATGGATGCGGACGTGCCGGTGGTCCTCCGCCTAGTATGTGATGCCTATCTGATGGCCATGCAGAGCCTTCAGGTACGTAAAGAACTATTCCTTTCTCAGTTCATTAGCTTCACCTTATCTTCTCCTAGAAGTCCTCTGCCTACTATGTGCTACCAAGCTATGCAGTGCCTGCATTATGGCTATGCAGCGCCTTATTAAGCTATGTAAAGAACTATCCATACCCCAATCAACATGTGAAGTTATCTTTCTAGAAGTCCTCTGCCTATGTGCTTGCTATGTGATGCCTATCTGATGGCTAGTATGCAGAGCTCTTAGCTATTCAAGGAGTCAAAAGACCTATCCTTGCTCAAAGCAGACTGTGCACTCATCTTACTAGTAGAAGTCCTCCACCTATGTTCTAGCTATGTGACACCTATCCGATGGCTATGTCACGAACACCAGAGCATCAAAAGCCGGTCACTAAACGATCATTCTCTCATTCTTTGCCTCTAATGTGTTCTCCGGAACTCAGAGGTTACGATGGCAAATGAATTCCTATGATCATGATCATGATCATGATCAGCGTCCTGTGACCGCTGATCTCCTCCCCATCCTTTTTGGAGGGTGAACAGTTTTAACACCTGTGTTATGATGCTTAGGAGTCTGACTCAGGACTGACTGACCATGTATAACAGTCAAGAAACAGATCGTGAGTTCGAATCATGACAGACTCAGAAGAGTATAATATTGTTAAGGGATAGCTCCTTAACAAGAGAAGAAGTTAAAGGATTCTAGCATGGGGAAGAGGCGTTCATTTACTGAGGAGCCGATGATCTGCTGACAGCTGCAATTGGAGGTCCTTCACTGAATTTCTGAGGCTGTCTTCTGAATTTCTATGTTTGAAGTTTGAAGTGGTTTTAGTTACAGGTGCACATGGTTGTATGATCACATCGTAGAACCCTATAAGTTTCGTGTTTTCCGTCTTTTTCTATTTTTAGAACCCTACAAGTTTCTGATGTGATCATACAGGAGCAGGAGAACTTGGCAGTCTGACTACAGTAGATCCGACTAGAACTTTCTAGTATGATGGCATGCTAGAGAAAGACGGAGACGGAAAGAAAAAGAGGGTGCAAGAGAACCAAGGGCAACTGTTCCTTGGGGTGATCTAAATGGCGTTTGAGTAGAGACTCGAAGTGTGAAGAGCGAGGGGCCAACTTTAAGGGCAAAAGGCAAATGGTGAAGTGATACAGGAGGAATTAGCAGGAGAGAAATGTTGACTTCCTTCAAGAGCCACTTGTTCAATCGTGGAAGCGTTGAGGTTATTAATAAATACGAACCAAATGGTCATGGCTGACAGGGAGGACTGCTCTGGTCGTGCATTTTGCTGGGCACCTGCGGCACTGGAGAAGGAGATGATGAAGAAGAAGAAGAAGAAGAAGTCTTTGCATTCAGCAGGTTTGCAGTCTGCGGACTCTGTTCCCAGGTATTTGTTTCGCTTACTTCACACTACTAGCTGCTAGGTCATAGTATGCACTATGTATATAGCTTTATTAATGTACTTAGCATGTACAGTGGTAATAATACATTGTGCATTTCAGGCCTGGCCATGGCCAGAATCCAATATAATATCGTGATGTTCTATGATGATCATTTTCAGGCTTCTACACTTTAAATTCAAAAGGAAAAAGGATCAAGGAAAAAGGGAAAAAAGGATTGACAAGATTCAATCACTTTCCATTTCTCCAAACTCTTTCACGGTCATGATTGATCCCGCATGCTCCATTGCAACTTCTAGAGACTTCTTTCAACTCATACCTCCATCAATCCCCATGACTCATGCTATATCGATGTAACAGTTCCTTGTTGATGAATGTTTTCCAAAACAGAAAGGAGAAAAAACTTCAAAAAACTTGAAAAAAGTTAAAAAAAAGTTAGAAAAAACATGGCAGAAATAATATGTGACAAACTTCGGAAAAGCTATCATAGATTCATAATGGCCGGTAGTCCCTTCTTGATCACAATAACTTGAATCTCACCAAAGTATGAGATGCAGAGTCCACAATGATCTTTTTGAGCCAACCTCTCAGCTATGGCCGCCGACCGAATAGCACAGCCCGCACTCTCTCGTCTCATCTGGCACATCTGACTACTATATCAGGCTTTTCACTCTCGTGCCCACTTGGAATGCCGGCAGAGCTGGCCAGCCTACCGTCTTCCCCCGAGCACAACGCACCCTCATTTTGACTGCATCGGGCCGGAACATACCTTGTATGCGTTCATTTTCGGGGTGCATTATGTTCGGGGGACTTCTTTTTTTTTTTTTTTTTTTTAATAATTTGGACCATTTCTCGATTTATGCGTGTCATCCTTGCGCAGGGGCCATGCTAATCTTCTCTGTATCGTTCCAATTTTAACGGATGTCCCAAAGGACGCCAGCCTCGTACTTGTTACTACCAGTTGATGTATAAATGGGACGCTGGACCCGGTTTCCAGCAGGTGCCGCTCCCCATCAATAGATGGAGCAGCCCGACAGGTAAGCCCTCAATCTTGACGGCTCTTTTACCGCCGCCAGGATAGAGGGATATCACAGGGCTTTTCAAAAAAA